TATCTTTCTCGCGCTTATAGATACTCATAAGACTTTCTTATGGCGCTCATTTAAAATCTTTATTCGCGTCTGGCAAGTATTAAATCCCATTGAATTCGTCTGGCAATTAACACATATTTTTTAATATCATCTAATAAACACGCTGTAAACATTTTAGAATGCCTAAAGTATGCTTTCCAGGTATAATAATTAAACATATTTGAAATGGTCTGGTTACACTTTAAACCCGAAAAAAGTCTGGCATACTTATCTCTAGGTTAAATAGATGCTAAAATTTAAAAATAAACAAATTTCAAGTTGCCTAAAGAATGTTTTTTGGATTTATTTTTTTGCAAATGTTATGGGTTGCGCAGTAGCGAAATACCCCCAACCCCCCAGCCAGACTTAGGATTCTGGGTTCACCAGTTAATAAACTATACATTTTTAGTTATTCTAGCTTGCCTAAAATATGTTCTCTAAATATGTCGTCAGCTCTTAGGCTATAAGGTAAATCGTGTCTGGACGGGGCTGAACATTTACTGAACTTATAAACAAAATATGGACATTCTACAGTAAATAAAACTAATAGGTAATTTATTACTTATTTAGAATTTTAAATATTGCTTTTAGGCAGTCGAAATTTTGTGGTGCCTGACTTACTTAATGAAAGACTATCTACGAGTATACAGGATGCTACAAACTCGAGGTACGAGCATTGGTATCTCGGTAACCGTAATAGATACGAACATGGTTAAATTGGGGCAAAGTTACGCTTTAGGATGTTTACCAAGATGCCATCAATTTTTTTTAAAAACACACATATATTCATCACAACAATATTGATCAGCGCTAATTAACATTGAATAAGGAAAATAAGTAAAAATTGTTTTGGACATTTGAAATCAATAGATTTCAACAATAAGAGTACAAAAATCAATTAAGGAGTAATAAAAAACAATTAAAGAGTACAAAATGCATTCGGAAGTATAAGATCTGTTCAAAGAGCTATAAATAAAATTGAACGAAAAACAAATGTGTGCATTATGGAGGGTGGTAACCCTTTCGAACATGCAGAGCATTAGATACTAGTTTGTAGAAGTTGATTTATTTATAATAACTACGATTAATATTATGCACATTATTAGATCTTACACTGAGATTTCAAATTCACAATAAAAAAAGTTAAAAATAATAGATATCTTTAAATTGCTGACCTGGATATTAATTATTTGAATCTTTCAATGGGCGTGATTTTCCTTATCCAATGTTAATTAGCGCTTATCAATATTGTTGTGCAGAATATAATCAGATTAAATAATTAAAAAAAAACAGAGTCGGACTTGAAATTATTTTAAATAATAATTAAATAGTTTTTTTGTTATTAAGGTACCGTAAAATGGGGTGAATAGAAACAGTTTCGTAGGCTATTAGCGATATAACGGTTGATAAAAATGTGGTATTATTTTCCCGAATATTTTAAAACATGGGTCTTTGTTTGTTCTTTGCGTATACATATAATTTGATTTTTGAAAAATATGCGTATAAATATTAAATAAAAATAACATTTGTGTTTCTATTCACCTGCTATTCGGGAGAATAGAAACACACATTGAGAATGTTAAGGTTTTTATCTATTCTACTTCCAACAAGGTGATTAGAAACAGTAAATTATTACATATTTAAGTAAGTTTAACAATAATTAACAATAATATAACAACTTACATGTACCAGCTTATGTATTACTTTAAAAATATATATTTTTTTTATAAAGTTTTCGCGCCATACAAAATAGGTGATAAATCGATCTCACATTTATTGATCAGCTGATTGACAGAAACAGTGCTGCCACAGATAAAAATATAGTTTTTACATTTTATTGTGTATTTACCAATGATAGAAAAATTAGATATGTCGACTCTTTTTACTTATAATATGCTATATATGAATATTTCTAATCGTGATTTGATTTTTTTCAGAAATTTTGTTTCTATTCACCACTATGTTTCTATTCCCCCCATTTTACGGTACCCAAAACAAAAGAAAAATATAAAGTGTGGCCTATCATTGTACTCAGAAGTCCCAGTTCTTTCAAAACCTGAAATAAAAAATGCAGGTCCGTATTTAAAAACATTCAAGTTGGCCTCTGTCTCACAAATTATCAGCTAATTTGAAAATCTAAAAATACCATCAGATAACCCTAATAAAATGTCTATGAGAACGTGAAATTAGTTTTTTGATTTCCTAAAAAGTAACGACAGGAAAAGATTAAATTGATTTTACAAAAAAATCCGTTTTTTCCAAAAAAACTCATCAATCCTTGACATTTTTAAAACTTTTTTGATGGCATCTTGGTAAACATGCCAAGGAGCAACTTGGCTCCAATTTAACCATCTTCGTATCTATTACGGTTTCCGAGATATCAATGCTCGTACCTCGAATTTGTAGCACCCTGTATAGGCATTTACATTGCTCAATAAAAAAGATAGAAGTTTTTAATATAATATCCTGCAACGTAACACTTAAAATTACATGTGTCCAAAAATTGTGCCTAGCTAATCAACAAAATTTTCACTGATTAACAATGCGCGATGCCGTCATGAAAATGCCCGTTTTATTCCAAACCACTCTAAATTTATTTAACCAAAAATAAATGTTTAATTTATAAAACGAATTATATTTTACTACCTATTATAGTGTTTATAATTTGTGCTCTTTGAGATTAGTGCCGACATTTCGTAGTTATGTGTATATACAGGGTCTCCCAAAAATAACTGCAAATATTTTAACTGGTAGTATATTTCGGCCTCAGAAACACGCCCATGAGGTATTTTTTGCAAAAAAAAATTTGAAAATTCGAAATTTTTTGAAAAATTTTATTTTTTTTAATAATTTTCTTCCAAGTACTTTTAGCGACTCGAATGAAATTTTGAGGGTAAAAGTTACTATAAGTGCTACATATTTTAATGCTAAAATAGTGTCGATAAATTCATCAGGACGTGCATATGTTATCATTGGATAAAAAAAAAATGCCTTTAATGCCAATTAAATGTTATCTCTTGATATTTTGTCGAATTCGGCCTCCTTCATCAGATCAACGCAATTAAAATAAAAATAATAAATTATATATTTTACCTCATTTATTATTAAATATTATACTGTTAGTCCAACCTACAGCAATTTGAAATAAAAAAAATTGGCGCCGGGAGGCACGAATAGCCGCCCATACTAAAATGTGTTAAAAAGTTGATAGGCAGTTCTTGTAGTTTCAAAGTAAAGGAATTTTTCCAATTTTTTTTATCAAAAACTGTGACTTTGACTGTTTTTGATGTTATTACAAATTTTGTTGCAAATATTATTCCAAATCTTAAATTGAAAACCGCGTTTCGCTAGTTACTGTAATTTTGGAGTTGAAACTTTGTATTGAAATATTGTACGATTTTTATTAAATTTTAACCCCCCCCCCCCCCCCCTTATCAACCTCACACCTCCACCAAAAACTAATGGCCAGATTCTCGGGTGCCACAGTATTTTTGTGCCAAATTTGGTTAAAATCGGTTTAGCGGTTTTTGAGTTATCGTGGTACAGACCGACGGACAGACACCATAAAAATATTTTGTATTTAGGTCATTTATGACCCAAACAACTCATTTTGAGTGAATTAAAAAACTTTTTTTTACCATACCTGTTGGTATGGTCGGCTAAAAATAATGGTATTTACGATAATTACAAAAAACCTAATTTTAAAAAGTTTTAACATCCTGTAACTCTAAAACTATGCATTTCCATACCCATGATTATAGGAACTTTGGTTCATGTTTACTGATGATGAATCATTTAAAACTATCGCAAGTTAAATGATATTAATTTGTTTTTAAAGGTTGCTATTAGACTTGCATCAAGGCAAATTAATAAAATTGCGTTTATCTCATCAAGAAGGCCGAAATCGACAAAATATCAAGAGACAACTTTTAATCGGCATTAAACTGCTTACATTATTTCGCTAAAGAGAGAAAGTCAGTGGCGTACATACTTTTTTAGAAAAATATTAGTGATAACCCATATGCACGTCCATGGTGAATAGGTCGACACTTTTTAGCTTTAAAATATGTCGCATTTATATTAACTTTTACCCTCAAAATTTCATTCGAAACGCTAAAAGTACTTGGAAGAAATTTATAATCGAAAAAATATTAAGACGCACCTTAGGCTATGAAAAAAAGCAGAATCGGACCTATATTGATATGAAGAATAAATCTTATTTTTACGTGAGGAATCTTCCCACGAGGGATGGCACATGTTTTTTGAAACACCCTGTATAGTTTTCTTGTATACGGTTTTGGATGATTTAAAATAAAGATATTTTTAAATGTGTATACTGCGTTTTCATCATTTAAAGCCGCGTATACACTTAGTGAACGCATACGGTCGCGTGCGGTTGTGTTCGCTGACTTGGCGGTATGTACTTCAAAGGGAATACAACCGCACGCAAACAGATGTATGATGCGTTCACTAAGTGTGTACGTAACAGCGAACACCGAAAAACTACTTCAAACAAAATCACCGCATGTGTGCGGATTTGGTCGAACGTATGGCGTTCGCTAAGTGTGTACGCGGCTTAAGAAAACAAATATTATCTTATGACAATTCAACTGATTTTTAAATTTGAAAGAAATATCATTTTTTATAGGTTCTTACTGATACAGAATGGTGTTCTTTCAGATTTAAAAATAACTTGAAATGTATAGCAATATAAAAATGCCGCTAATTTTGCAGGGAATGCGGTGAGGCAAACCTAGCGACATTACACCATGCCTTTAGTAATGTTTCGACAGTGATAATCATAAATTCGGATAATTTTTTAGCACCGAGTTGGTCGTCTCGAAGTTGTCTCTGGCATAAGTACTTATAGAAATTTAATAGCATTGATACCTTTTTTAAGCCTTTTTATTCTTCAATTTTAATTAAAAATCCTTTTGTTTTCCTGTGTTGATCTACCAATTTCTAAATAAAAAATAACACAATTTGACATTACCATATTTATTATAATCTAAGTGCATGAACAACCATTAACGCTTAGCTATTAAACACAGTAAAAAATAATAATTTGAAACCAATTTAGTGTTAGACAATTAAAATTGAAGCCATATATGCAAAGTTTGACAAAGTAACCATTATTAACTAAAATATTTAAAATCACTGTGAAACAAGTATTTTCTGAAACAAGAAAAGGAAAATTAATATTTATCCAAGTATATTTATGTAAACTAAAACAATAGATTCTCAAATGAAATCTATAGAGGAATAGAGACAGATAAAACTTACTAAGGTTTATTTTTAAGCATATCCTTGTTACGTTCTAACATCTCTTCTTTTTTATCTTTCTTCACTTTATCCAGAAACTTATCCATTTCCTCTATGTTCGTTTCTACTGGAATGTCTCTACTACCGGGTGGTGACGGTTCACGATCGTTATCGTCTTTATCTGCCCATTTTCCAGCAAAAGCATCTCTGTCAATAACCTGAAAGCGATTTTTATTGAAGAAAAGAAAAAGCTATTATAATACCTTATTTACCCTATTACGAGAGAACAAATACTATTATTTCTCTTCAAATAAATATAAAATAAACTGACAATTCTAACACTATAAACGTTTAAATAATTTGATTCCATTATAACTTCTAACACATGCCAGTGAACAGTAATTTCTGGTTAAAAAATAGAGCCAGATATTAAAAAGATAATGATTAAGGTGTGCCTACTGCAAAGATCAAGAACAAGACTATTTAAATCAAAGAATTTTATTGAAACAACACTAAAATAATACACTACTGTTTTACTTCAGTTACCTTATTACTATCATTGTTAGTATAATCATCCCGATCCTCTCCTTCTGATAAGGGTCCGTCGTGTTTGACTGGCTGTTCAACATTTTCAGCAGTCTGACCTTCTGAATACTTGTTAATCTTTTCCTTGCTTTCTTCCCTGGTTCTTCTCGGAGAGTCATCAGATCTGTCGGGACTTCTGCTGTATGACCTATGCAATAATTACAAACAACAAAAGTCAGTAGGTTGCTACTTGTACAACATTCGGCTTATCATGATATACCTGCTACGATCCCTTGACCTGCTTCTGTCATATCTCCTGTCTCTATAATCTCTATATCCTCCCCTTGGATATCTGCCTCTATTATTTCGCCTATTTCCTCTATAATCGTACGGCCGGCCTCTGCCTCTAAAGTTGCGGTCGAATCGATCCCTTAAAAGTATAAAAATATTATTAAATAACCTAAGTTAAATCGTTATTTATTTAAAATCGGTTAAAGAGTTTGTGGCAAGCTGCTTTCGTTTTGCCCTTTCGGTTGGGTTGAACTGTTCAGATCAGTCACATTAAAATTTGGTAACATAACCGACAAAGTTTTCTAATTTGATGCAAATTGTGCAAAATGAAACTAAAAATTAACTGGTCCTTTGCGAAGGCAGAGGCGTAACATTTGGGAAGATCCGCTTAGGAAAAAACTATGACAGAAACTGAACCCTTCAGCTCCATGCTACCTAAGGAGGCAAAACAAAAGTGCCTTATACTGTTTTTATGAAATTAAAGTTTAGTATATATTCATATTAGTTGTGTTTCATTTTATAATTTTAGACACACAAAGCAATTTTAGTAATAAACATATAAGTAACAAACGGATTTGAATTCCTTGACAATACAATCCAGGACCCGAATTCTGCAACTTAGAAAACGCTAAGCACTTTTGGACGCTCTGCGTATATCAACTTAATTTTCGCTTAGCTCGCACTTGACTACCGATTTGGGTATTTCATTTGATGCGCTTAGCATCTATACCTTTGAATAAGAAGACGAAGGAAGGAGCATATCAACAATCTTAGGTACACCGCGATGGGCCTCAAATATGGCCGACTTAAATTCCGGTTTATTAGTGTCGTTCTAATTTTATTTAAAAAATGTAAAACTATGATGTAGGGTAGATGTGGGGTAGACTCAATAATTTGTTGTTTTATTTTACGTTGTGAATAAATGTTGGTAGGTATTAAAATTGTTATAAAAATATATAATTCTAATAAAAATATTACAGTTGAGGGTTGGAACCTTTGGTGTTACACAGCAAAATAAAAACACTAAATCACCACAATACACCAAAACACTTTTACTTTTACACTGAAAAGTACCTTCAGTGTAAAAGTAAAAGTGTTTTGGTGTATTGTGGTGATTTAGTGTTTTTATTTTGCTAATAAAAATAGATAAGTTATAATAAGTATTTATTAACACAAACATCCGATACGCTACTGAAGCAGGTAAGTCAAATTAACGTATCTAAATTCTTTGACATCTAATCTTTGACAAATAATAAATAAAAGCTAAAATGCAAGAAAAATATATAATTTAGTTAATTTAAGTGAATTTCATAAATGATCGGTTTACTACATGTATTTATATTATAGAGTCACTTACTAGTGAAAAGTTGTTCCATTATTTCAATCAATTTTTGCCGAGATCTACCGCACGCTACACAACCAACTATTTTAGAGTCTTTTTCGATAAATCGCGATAGTGTCACTGTTAATTTAAGTTCTGCCACAATTTCCATCTAGATTTACTAACTTTATACAACTATCAGTAGTAGAATAAATAATAAATAACATAAAATAAGCTCCGTAAAGACTGACAAATCCACAAAATTTCAAATCAAATTCAAATGTGTCAAATGAATCGTCAAACAGAACTGTCAAGGATCCCCACCCTAGAGTGCTTTTTCCGCCCACCATGCATGAATACATGGATAGCATTAGGCTCCTTCCTTAGTCTTATTCAAAGATCTATACCCATTGCGCTAAGCGATTCGAGAACGGCTACCCTAAAGGATCTTTTTGCTTGTCGAACTGTCATTAAAAATATAAAAAATTGTGATTTTGTGCGTTCTCTTGCTCTTTAGTGAAAACTACTTCTTCTATAAATTCCTCAATAAGTAATTTGAGAATTTACGACTTGGCAGCTATACATGTTCAAAACATCGAAAATGCTCAGAAGCATATAAGTAAGAGTATAATAAGAATAATGACATATCCGTATAAAAATAGGTTGACATAACTCAAAAATAGGTTATGAAATTCACGTATCATTGACATTTTCATCGTTTTATCCTCATTTGACTATCTATTAGTAAACTAGTAGATACCTGAGAAATTGCGATGCTGTTAATATGTGCTCAATTCAGAAAACAATTCGCACGACAACGAGAATACCAAAATCGATTGCTTAGCGTTCTGCTAATCGAATACTTTTGCTTGCCGCTTTGAAAGGATAACGTTTTTATGTCGAAGTTCCAGAATTTGGGCCTAGTTTTAATTTTGATACTAATTGATCACCGTGAACATCATGATCACAAAACTGAAATGACAGCGATGTGCGATGGCTTCCGAAAATGACGCAACGATCTTGAACGATAATTGTACAGAATTCTATGACTATTGGGAGACTTGTATATTATTAATAAATTTACCTGTAAAAACCTCGACCTCTGCCACGATTGTCGAATCTGGGATTGGGATAGCGTGGTTTATAGTACGTGCCCCTGTTGTTCTGGCCTCTAAATCCGCCCCTCCTCCTGAACCTCCGGTCGCCCGAATAGCTGCGCGACCTGGAGCGGCTACGCGAATACGCCGAACCGGACCGGGAACGACTGCGCGAGTAGTAGCTGCGCGACCGGGAGCGATAGCTTCTGGACCTGCTGCGCGAAAGGCTGCTACTGCGCGATCGGCTGGGTCTGGAGCGAGAACGACTGCGTCGTTTAGGAGAGTTGCTTGCTGAGCGCGGTCTGCCCGGCGGTTCCGGTGGTCTGCGGCCTAGAAAAAATACAATCCTATGTTAAGTTTGTTCATTTAGATTCATTATCACAAAACTCCATAAACCGTATAGTTAAAATAGTTTGTAACGTGTTCGAAAGAGAAAAACGTTAAAGTATGCGGGAAAATATCATTTTCCACTTCAATATCCATCAAAGTTGTTTGAAGCCCTTTTTAAATTGAAATTCTTGAAAACATTTTTGAAACTTTTTCAGTTTTTAGTTGATAAACATAATTTGTTGATAATATGGCAACATAGATAGTGGATTAAATTTACAAGAAAGAAAATACAGAAAAGAGCCAGTGGTTCTTAAAATTTTAACAAAAAATCATTTTTTTTTGGAAATTTTCAAAGTAAAATAACTCGGTTATTTTGAACTTATTTGAAAAACGGTAAAGAGAAAATATGTTTCTTTTATCGAGATCTACCAGCTCTGAAATTATTTGCATTTATTTAAGACTCACCCTGTATAATGGAAAATAAAAACGCTTTATTATTTATACTTCTATTTCAGAGACAAAATAATTAAGATTTTTCAAAACATTAACCTGCCACAAAGGCCTTAAAATATTGAAGTGTTACATCTTTCTACCTTGTATGGTTATTACATTTTTGGACATCTTGTTGATCATTTTATATAATTCTACACATTGATATTTTTCAAAAATGAATTTGAAGCTTTTCAATAGAAGATATAAACTTTATGGGGAAATATATTTTGAACCCAAGTTTAAAATTTATTGAACTAAGCACAAATGAACGCTTGTGCATTGTTAACATGGTCCCCTAGTATAATATATTTATATACATATTTTCCCTATATAAATGGCTAAAAACTACTCACTACTCACTCTACCATAAATAATAATTCAATACACCTCCTACAGCATATTGGACTATTCATCTAGACTGAAGTATAAAAATTAGAAATAAACCATGCTAGTATTATAATTACATAAAATACTACACAAATCTACTATCTCACTCCCAAGGAAAAGCACATACGCTAGTGGCATATTATTTCTGTTACTAATACTGTTTGGTTTATACAAAAAATAAGTAGAATCATTCTATTGCAGAATTGAAAAACATAGTTTTAAAAGTTTTAGGAGTATTAGTATAATATAACTTGCTTTAACTGCATACTTAAAATAGACATTGTATAAAATATCGCTATTTAAAATATTTGTTAAAAAGTTAACCTTTTGATAAACTGAAAAATGTTTATTATACAGTCCGTTGCATCGCCGACCTGAACATAGAAATTACCATGTAAATTTTGAAAATGATATTTAAAACTTTTTAAAGAGTTCCTTAATTCATATGACAAACTTGTGATTGTGTTTGTTTGCCAGGACCGGATTATTTTAAATTTTCGCTTAATTTAGTATTTTTGTATCTCTCATAACTCAAAAACGAATTCGTATAAATTATTCAAAATGAACAATTTGCCTTATTTTAAGGAGTTTTTTAAAGGGATTCAACTACATTTTACTGTAAAATAAATCGGGAAAAACTTGCTTTATAATTTTTTAAATTCACATGGGATTTCCTATGTTCAGGTCGATGATGCAACACACGGTATTATATCACCATATTATAAGTACAAAACAACAATTTAATTAAGGAAACTAGGCTGCGAAGCTCAGCCAACCAATAACATGCAACAACATAATAAATTAAGAGCTTTATTACCAAAACTCGTCTTAAAACATGCTTTTTAAGGCCCTTTCAAACTAATTAAAGTTTGTCTCTGTATTCTAAAATCTGAAAGAGCCTTTAGTTACATCCAAGACATCTAATATTTTGTTTAATGACTGAGCTCTACCTGCTTGGTCTCCTTTATTGCTGCTAGAAAGAGCAGTACCTGACATTACGTCATGACCTTTCTTCATTTCCGGCGGTGTCATAAGTCTGAAATTCCCAAATTTGTCTAATACCACTTGCCCTTGCGGAATTTTCGGCCCTGGTGGAGCTGGCGGCGCAGCTGTGGGTTTAAACTTCTTAGGCGATTCAGAAGGGTGTTTAGCCGGAGGTTCTTTCATTGCCATTTGTTTGCGAACACTGACGGCTTTTTCTGTTGGTAATGGAGGCAAAGGTGCTTTCTTTGGGGCAAGATTATCAAAGCTAAAATGAGAAGAAAAATGGAGATACAATCAAATATATAACAATACTCTATATTCTTGTTTGTTTCTACTGTATAACAGTAAATTAGGTATAACAAAAATTATCAGCTATATATGTGCTTTAGAATAATCATCGACTTAAAAAATATTTACCTGTCATACCATTAAATATATTAATTCAGGATTAGTTCAACACACTTAAATAATTATTATCTATAAAAAAGAAGTTCTTGCAGTGAATTGCACGCATAAAATTAGTTTATAAAGAACTTTGAAAATACCTATCACTAATGTCAAAAATGTTTTGTTCTATAAAATATTGGGTTGACATGACTACTACACAGGTAAACAATCATATAGGTGTCTAGAACAATTTTATTAAAAAAAAAATCTTTTAAAAAAGTGAATGTGTGTAAGAATGAAGTAATGTGTAATGAATTTGATACAAAAACAAAAAAAAACAAAAGAAAAATAATTTTGTCAAAATATTCCAATCATATTACATACATGTATAGTAGACTGGGGCGAGTCTCAAAAGTGGCTTACCCTTATAACTTTTTATTTTTTTTAGTTAAAAAAACAACGAAATTTGGTATGTTAGTATATGACATAAATTAGGATTGATTGACGTATTCAATTGTTTTCGGCAACTTCCGGTTTTACCGGAAATGACTACAACTTTTTATTTATAAATTACATCCCCGGTATCTTTTTTACTTTATTCGATAGAAAATATCACTCTGAATAGAATGACATATCATATGTCAACTTTGGACATTTCACATATGGTTTATTTGAAATTATAACTTGCGGTTCATAACGAAAATTTGACTCCAAATACCAAGTGTGTGGTATCAAATTATTCTTAAAAAAAAAATGCTTTTTCCAAATATGCTAATGAGCCACCTTCGTTCCATTTGAAAAAATTGAGATATGATTAAAAATACGATTTGAGCATTTTTTTAACTGGCCAGGACAAGACACTAAAAACATTAGACAATCAAATCTATTTTTCCAAGACCCCTTGATGAAGAAGTAGTGTTTTTAACATAGCCATGTCACTTTAGATTCAATTTTAAAATACGAACCGCAAGTACAAAAGATAGATACAAAAAAAACTAACTTGTTTCTAGATCTGGGTTTCTCTGGTGGTAATTCTGGCGGCCATTCAGGAGATGGAGGCCTTTCTTGCTTCTTCTTAAATCTGGATGATGGTTGGGTTGCAGGTCCAATGTGCATTTTCCACTTTCCAGCCGAAGCCGCAGCCTCAGCCACTGCTTGCCTGGCTTTCTGTTCTCTTGTCGGAGATGGCGAGTCCAGAAGAGAATGTTTTGGCGATTCACTTAATTCGCTTCTAAAAATAATATATTAGTGAAATATTCTCCATATTGTTTTGACAATTCATTAGACATATTCTAGCTTTTCATATTAAAAAAAATTACACTATTATAATATATTATTTAAATATTTTTACCTCTTTGATTCTTTTTCCAGTGCATAATATGCATTTAATTTTGATTCAAGTTCTTCTAAATCTGGCAAGTTCTCAATAAATCTGGAAAAATATTAAAAAAATTAAAGTAAACAGGTGCTGATGTTAAATATAGCTGCCAACCTTTTTGAAATGCCTGATTTTTGAAGGAAGTATTCTTCATCATCAGAAAGAAGGCTATGTTTCTTCTTCTTCTCTTTGTTTAATTCTTTCTTGATAGCATCTCGCAGTTTCTTATGATCGTCCAAATCTAAATCAACTCCTTTACGTTTCAGCTTATCCTTTTCCTTCTTCTTCTTTTTCTTACTATCCTTTTTAGCCTTTTTCTCTTTCTTTTTCTTCTTCTTCTTGTCAGTATCACTCTTACCCTTTTTCCATTTGGCACTCTCCTCTAAGAACTTCCTCACCTATAACAAATTTTAACTTAATGCTGATGTGAATTACATTATAAGCAAAAATATACTGAGAATTTTGTTTGTTTCGAAAAGCACAGAAAACTGAATATCAACAATTATTTAAGTTACCTTTGTTTCATAATCTGAATCGTCCTTGGTTTCTAGCAGGAATGATTTAACCTTAGCTTCATAGTCAACCTCAACAGTCTTGGGTTTTTGAGGTTCTTCAAATCCAAAATCAAAAGCGTTGGTCGCCGGCTTGTTGAAATTAAAATTGCTGGTTGATGGGTCTTGAGCTTGTGAATCCATCATCGCCATACGCTTACTCAATGGACTTAGAGAATTTTCACGTTTCTCCCTTCTGTGAGACCTTTGATGATTAGAACATTTTTAAATAGGTCAACTTTTATTTTTATTATTTTGGCTAAAATAAATTTTACTAATATACCATTACCTCAATATTTTCAATGTAATTTATACGTAAAAAAATGGCGATCTAAAAATAAAGGCGTGACAAAAATCTACCTACAATATATTTTATAACATTCTACTATTTAAAGAAACCCAAAAATTAAATAGTCTGTCCAATGGGAGGGCCCTGACAGGGGTAGTCGTGTCAGTCAATTGAATTCAGACCAACTGTATTTTCTGTCATTTTTTTGATTGTCATCTATTTAAATTTTCCCCAAGTTATTGGACAGACCTATACTAAATAAAATAAAATTATAAAACACCACTAAACATTTGAATAAAAAGATTAAAGAAGTAGTATAATGCTATCTCCATGTATTTGTGTATGATAGACAGAGGTGGGGAGCAAGTTGTTTGGCAATTTATTTAACACATTTGAATTTGATTTGAAACCCCGACCCAAGTTTTTTGATGTATGCTCCTTTAATCTTTGTAGGAAAAGCTTTGAACAACTTAGAATACGAATTTTAATAGGAATGATCCTGAGCAGCAAGTTCGTATAAATATATTTCTAAAATTGTGTCTTTCAAAAATCACTCTAAGAGCGCTTTCACACACACCGGCAAGATCGATGCCGGTGCTTAAATCGATTTTAATAACATTGCAATAGAATTAAATACAACTGTCGAAACGTACGCAAAGCCGGTGTATGTGAAAGCGCTCTAAGGCCCACTTAGCGTTTATCTTGTTGAACTGTTTTTTGCACCTCAATACATTGAAATATACGCGTTTTTAATTTGTATTTTACTTAACTTTATGACCATTTGTATTTTGTATGTAATGATGTATTGTGATATTTAACTGGTTGACTACCAAGCACAAGTAAACTTGTTGGCTATCTAACTCCAGACGCCCAGCTATGAGTTATCTTGTTCCTGACCAACAATTCTTCAGCGCTCAACACGAGTAGATTCGTGGTGTTTGTGTGAAAAAATAAACAGTTCCTTTCTATGCACAATCATCTTGAATTAACAAGTTCTTTTAGTGTAGTACCATAGCAGAACTAAATAACTGTATGTATACAGCCGACCTAGTAATTTTTTTCATCTTTATATGAACTTTTCAGCTCAGAACACCTAATTAGGTAATAATTAAATGTCTTGTAGTAAACCCTTTACAGCTAACAGTTTAATTAAATATTAATTTTAACTGGCGTTAAATATAATGTTGATAATAGAAGCAAAATTTCTTACCTGGAACGATGTTTCTTGCGCTTCTTAAAATCAGAATCTCCACTTGAACTGCTCGAATCGCTACTACTACTAGATGAACTGCTGGAACTCTCTCCGCTTCCCGAAGAGCTAGAGCTAGAACTGGAACTAGAATGGCGTTTCTTTTTCAACTTTTTCTTTTCCTTCTTCTTCTTTTTCTTATCTTTCTTGTCAACCTCTTCGTTCTTTAGCAGTTGGTTTAAAGCATCATTGACATCTGCGGTCGGTTTTCGTACAGATGCCAAGTTTGGTAAAAGAAGTTCGGCTGGTTCAATAAAATTTTTGGGTGTCTGCTTTTCCTTGTTTTTCAAAAATTCCAAAGAATTCTGGACATATAAAAAATGCATGTAAGAAATTATGTGATGAATGAATTTTGTGAATACATAATATTGTATTTAGATTGTTGGCAAATTGGCTTTATATGAGGGGCAAATTTAGCCATTTAAAAAGTTAGCCATTGTTTATTTGTATTCTCATTTTCAGTTTGATTTATTAGCTATAATAAAATAAAAATATAATGTTTAAGTATCATTAATGGAGTAACCTAAGTATTCACCTCCAAGCCGACGATTAGTTCAAATAAGCACCTAAGAATATTTCTAACACTTCATGGCGTTCAACATTACTATTATTAGTGAATTACTACTTCTGAAGTGAAACTTCTTTACGCGCACTGAGAGTAAAAATTCAAGGACGGGGCACACGAGCTAGTGGTAACGATCGAAAAAGTGGTAAGGACGCGATGTGGTATTTGTGCTCAACGTGAAAGAGAATCAAATTATTACGTGAAAAAACGATTTGTTACACGTAAAAAACTATTTTTACGCATAAAAAAGGTCTTTTTCAATATATATCACTTCTTCAATATTTTAAACTACACTTTTTCAAGCATGTCCTTCAATTTAATAGCCGTTAGTAAAAGTTTCACTTCAACCATGCGCATACCGGGTGCGTCTCAAAAGTGGCTCACCCCTATAACTTTTTTATTTTTTCAGATAAAACAACGAGATTTGGTACGTTGGTAGATGGCATAAATTGGACTGATTGACATATTCAATTGCTTTCGGTCACTTCCGGTTTCACCGGAAATTTTGATTTTTAAATGGCAAAAAACTTTTGATTTTTAAATGGCACCCTCGGTATTTTTTTACTTTATTTGATAGAAAATGACACTCTGAATAGAATGACATATCATATGTCAACTTTTGACATTTTTGTATATGTTTTTTTTTTTGAAACTCTAACATGCAGTTCATAACAACAATTTGCCTCGAAATACCAAGTGTGTGGTATCAAATTATTCGTAAAAAAATGCCTTTTCCAAGTATGCTAATGAGCCACCCTCGTTCCATTTGAAAAAATTGAGATATGATTAAAGCATTTTCTAACTGGCCAGGACAAGACACTAAAAATATTAGACGATCGAATCTATTTTTCCAAGCCTCCTAGATGAAGAATTAGTGTTTTTTAACACAGCCATGGCACCCTAGATTGAAATTTAAAATACAATTTGTTTTTGAGCGAATATGTCAAAAGTTGGGATATGATATGTCATTCCATTCAGAGTGTCATTTTCTATTGAATAAAGTAAAAAAATAGCGAGGACATTTAAAAATCAAAAGTTGTAGTAATTTCTGGTGAAACAGGAAGTGACCAAAAACAATTGAATACGTCAATCAATCCTAATTTATGTCATATACTAACATACCAAATCTCGTTTTTTTATGTGAAAAAATAAAAAAGTTATAGGGGTGAGCCACTATCGAGACGCATCCGGTATAGTGCACACACAATTTGTTAATTAAATTGTTTAAAATAATCGGATTTATTATGCCGTATAAAACCATGTGAATGTGGCATTAACTTTAGTTTAATATTTTTATTTGTCGAAAACAAACTTAAATTGTAATACGCTATTTGTTTGCCATTACTCTAAATTTTAACTGTTCAATTTTATTATTTTTTTTTTTATTATAAAACTAGCTTTTTCCCGCGACTACGTTCGCGTCACACCTCGAATCGTTCATACATTGATTTAAATGATTTGGTTTGAGTGAAGTTGATTAGATTTTTTTACCTCTTTATGGATAGAGTGAGCCTTACACAAATGCGCTATTTAAATTAAGTTATTAACAGGTTTAAGAGCTACTCGTATTTCATATGAAAGTAGGCAATTGTCGATTTTCTGGATATTATACAGGGCAAGTTTTGAATAAGTGCAAATATTTTCAGGGCTGGTAGATCTCGATAAAAAAACATATTCTTTTTACCGTTTTTCATATAACTCCAAAATAACCGAGTTATTTTACTTAAAAATATTTCTAAAAAAAATGTTTTGCTTAATTTTGAGAACCACTGGATCTTTTCGGGGTTTTCTGTTTGGTAAATTTAATCTACTACCTATGTGGTCGTATTATCAAGAAATTTTTATTTAGTTTTTAACTAAAAACAAAAAAAATCCAAAAATTGTTTTCCAAAAATTCCAAATTTCCAAAAAAAAAAAAATCGTTTTTCTGGGGTCAAAATATACTACCGCTAAAAATATTTGCAATTATTTAAAACTCGCCCTAATTTTTGACTTATAACACATTTTTTATTTGAAATTTATAAAAAGCCGTCAATATGCCAATTTCAAGAGCATTTGTATTCTCTTTAAATACTATTATGTATTAAAAACCGTTTTTAATTTTTTCATCCCCTGTATATACTTTATGGCACACTTTGTATTACTTTTAATTAGACCCGTTTCAAACAAATAATCTTGATAATTCTAAGTCATCGAAATCAAAGCATTTCAAAGAAGCTTAATTTTGACCTCAAAATGATTTTGAAATCTTGCTTTTTAACACTTTTTTTCAATTGTATATTCGACAGAGGGTGGATGGCGCTCTTCCGTGGCGGTTTTTTATTTCTTACTTATGTATAGGGTGTTTTTGAACACGAAACAAAGTCAAAATTTTGCAAAATCTGGAAAAAAAGAAATCTTTCGAAAATAATAAATAGTGAAATGACTATTTATCTTTTGATATGGATTTTTATATAAATTTTTACCTTCTTTACTCTTTTAATTGTTCCTCACATATTGATCCTTTCTTCATAATTTCATATTTCTAGACCGTATAGTTGGAAATTTACATATTTCGAACTTTACATAATTTTACTCTCAGAGGATGAATTTCCTAAAATTGTTTTTTCTGGCTGATAATCTAATGTCATTTGAAAGAACATTTCCGCTAATATTTATGTATATAAAGCCTGGATCATATATATAAAGCCAGCGCAGCAGTAACGAAATTTTATATGTATAAACTCAATAAACTGACCTGTAAAACAATATCTGACACACCACTGACAATTACGAAAAACTGATTTCTAAAGGTATTGTGTGTAGGTGTTTTTCAGGTATGTTTTAATACATATTCGTTTCACATAAAGAAATGGCGAATAAACGATATAAAAATGCTTCATAACAAATCTATACAATATACCTTTCATTAAAAAAAGAAAGAAAAAACAAATCATCCAAGATTGGTAAAGCGGTAGCCGCGGGATGGATGTAACAAAAAACCCTTTCAGATTTTATACATGTATAGAATGCGAAATAAATATGAGTATAAAATTGGCATTATAATTGATTATTCACAGTAAAAATATGGTAACACACTGAATTGTTGAACTTTATAAAAGACTAAAATGTTAAAATTATTAAGCAATCTTATTACCTTTGCTTCTTCATGATAGGGTATGATGCTGAGACAACTTTGATACGCTTTACGCGCCTCTTCGATCTTATTCTCCTCTTCGTAACTTCGTCCCAAAGCAACAAGCGTTTCACCCATATATTTACGGGCGTTTGCGTGGTTCTGATTTAATTTCAAAGCTGTTTCAAAATCTTCAATGGCCTTTTGAAAGTTGCCACTGTTGGCATAAAGTGCACCTCGTGCAACTAGACCTTCCACATTTCGTGGGTCTATGTTCAATGCCTTGTTCAAACACTGGAAAGCTTCAACATGTTTTCCAGCTTTAAAATGATCAATACCGTCAGCCACGTTACGGTACGCCCATTTGCTGGCTTGTACTTGACGCAATTCAGTTGCATACTCGTTTTCAGGAAATCTTCCCCTGGAAGATATTTTTTTAAATAACATAATTAACTTAATACATGTTAAAATAAATTTACCTTAAACCACTCATAAGTGAAACATGTTCATTAATCCCCATCTGATCAGCCAAATATTGAATATTATTTGGATTATTGAAGCCGACGCTCTTCTCCAACACAGATTCATAAGATTCGTTCTTGTGATCCAAAGATTTTCTGAAATTAACAATAAACACATTTACATTTGTTACTCTATGTAACTCGATGTGGACCATTAAAATTTACCTCACAGTAAAAAATTATATTTATATAAAAATAGTTATCATCTGCAAACTATTGCAGTAAAAATATGGATATATTCAGATGAAATCCTTAGTTTTACCAAACTGGCTTAATTAAAAATACATACCATAGATGGTTTCCTCTCTCCATCATATCTTGCAACACTAAACGCTATAAATTTTATCAACACACAATTTTCTCCTTACATATTGGTATAAAAAATAAATCAAATATCTCAGATCACTGCATGTTATTTAAACAAAAACTTGTTCGTCCTTGACATATTTAGTAAATAGTAATTTTTTGTTGGGGAGAGGAAGTCTGCGAAAAATATGGCTTATAAAAAATATATAATATATACATAGCTTTTTCATAAAATATCCTTTTGATGTAATGGAAAGTGCCTCACCTGAACAGATTTGTGTATTAGAATGTACAACTTAAATTGGCAAAGTTAGGTGCACAATGGATGTATAACTCATCACAGCAAATACACGTATGATCATACACAATTTTGTTTATATTAATTTAGTTGTTCTTTTAAATATTATTTTTCTCTGTTTTAAATATAATTCACCTTTAATATTCTAAAAAGAAAAAGTTGTTATAGTTTTAAATATTAACCCACAATTCAGCCTGATATACACAATTATATACAAATACTCTGACTATACACCCTTTATAAATATAAAGCATTAAATTGTTTATAAATTTCAGAATAAAATATTTTAAATTTCGTTAAGACAAATGTAACACAAAAAATAAGCTAAAATCAAACCAGTGAAAAAAATCAAACTTTTACACAATCAATATTTTAGAAATAAAAAATAAAAATAATGAATTATATTAAAGTCAAGTGTCCATCAGCATTAATTTCTCAATGAGAAGTGGCATTATAGAGGGTTAAACATAAAACCATAATCATCAAATCCCTAGTAAAATATACTAATATGTTGATCAGAAATGCTATAAAATGCGGGTACAAGGGTATTTACTAGAATATGAATCTTTCCAATAACACTGTGTAAACTTTGCATTCCCAATTCAGATTCTCCAGTTCAGTAAATCATGTTCAGAAACTATTTCTTCTTAAGGAATATCAAATTTTCTTTAAATTTGTCCTATATGCATGTACATGTCCTTTTTAAATTTCTTCAGAAATTCCTATATCTAATAAATCTCTGCTTAACTGATGTTACTTGAAGTTTACAAGATACTTCTAAATGGTTTTTTGTTATTGGGTACATAACTGGCAGTAGGATAAAGTTCAAGTAATATGTCTTTAATCTATTATGTAAACTTCAGTTGTCTTTTATGCATTCTTTATTGTTCACCATGCTAATCATTCTACTTTTGATCCAACTTTTTGCCTAACTTCAATGATATTTGTCAAATATCAATTTTATCCAAAATTTCTAAATAATCTTGATAACCAAACCTAGTAATTTTTATAAAAAATAGGTGCATCAGAAACAAACACTTACTTGTAAACCAGTGGAAAATCATCTGTACTAATAAGTCCCAATGGAGGCTGATGTTCAGGGTCGCCGGGTTTCCTAGTAGTACCTTTCATTCCACAAACCATTTTATCTGTATCAGCAATTACTTCTAGTACTTCACAACACACATAGTCGTTCATCATGTAACTGCGAGAGACACCCTTCTTATCTACTGCTGGAATTACATTGGCAACAGGACAAAATGCCTATGTAAAAAATATGTTTTAATATAAATATGGCTTGTTAATTCCAAACTTACTTTTATGTTGATATCAGCTGCATATTTGACATTGCCATCATTTCCTGCTGTACACAAAACTTTTAGCATCATACCAGACTGCTGCTTACTGACAATAGTACCCAATATAAGATCACCCACCTTAACATTCTAAAATCAAAATAAAATTCTAAAAAGCCAATAAACAAAGGATCAGTATTGTGTTAGTTTTTTATCTAATTTAAATTAATTTAAATATTTGGAAAAATTGGGGACAATAATTTCCTTTGCAAAAAATTCAATTTTTGAGTTGTAGATTACAAATATGTAGACATATGTGTATATTTGACAGACATCGTATTTTCCAGAAAATGAAAGTACCATAACACATTTTACTTTTCATAGCTTATACATTTTAGCATTAAAATTTTGTTATAATTATATGAGACTCTTGACTTTTAAACTGAAAATTATACAAAAATCTAGCTGAGAAATCCTTCTTTTAAGGCATTTGCAAATGAGAATATTAATTTGTTGTTAAAAAATATTATACATATTTTTTGTTTGATAATTTATAATCAAAAGCTGATTATAATAACAAACCTATACCAAATATTTCTGAAGGCTGATTACAATTGAGTATAATTGCAAGACTATGTTAAGCTTTTATGATAAAGTAATAAAAATTATAATTAATATTTTGTTTATTTTACCATGTGATTTATTTAATTTTATGTTAGGTATTTATTTTTCAAAGATCGATATAATAATTCGCATAAAGTTTGGATATTTGAATATCAAAAAATATGTGAATATTCATGATGAACCCTTTCTTTAATTATTGTACAGAAATAAACTTTGGAACAATCTTGAACCAAAACTAAATTTTTGGTCGCAGATTATAAATTCTATCAAATATCTATTCAAGTTTTAGTGTCTATCAACTTTTTTACAAGTTAAAAAAAAAGATTCTACATTTTGTACCATTTAAAGCGAGGGAAACCATTTCCCTTCCATTAATCTTAGAATCTACTCAATTTAGATTTAGTAACATGTTTTAATTTCATCAACACTACTAATTAACCTTACTTTTCAACATAAGTAACTCAGGTTTGCAATTTGCACAACCAAAAATCCATTACTCAAACGGTGTTTCTTTTGAGAAAATGCAGTTTCCAGATTTTTCAATAAGTACTTTTAGATTCTGTTTTGAATAAAAATAAATACCTCAGTAAAAAATTGGAGTCTCTTTTGTCGATCAGCATTTATGTATGTCTCAAATGGAGGTGTAACTGAATATAAATCTTCTGCTGGAGAGGTTGTTGTATTTGATTTCAACTCAGATGGCTTAGTTGAAAAAATTTGTTCAGCCTTTTTTACGATAAACTGTTGCAAATTAAGCCTTTTGCCACGATCTTGAAATGGCAAATTTCTTTGCCTTTGGCCATAAACTTGAAAATTGAAATCTTTAACTCCTCGACGGGCCAAATCATTATCTCCAAACTCTCCTTCCCAAAGTTTCTGGAACTGTTGCCCATGAAATCCGATGGCTTTTGTGATAAGTTGATTGTTCATGGGCTCCATTTTGGAGTCCTAAAACTGTGTGGGTTTACCAGACTCTGAAAATTTGACGCTTTTTACAAATACAATTACAAACAATTATGCAATAAATAGCCATTCAATATTTCGAATATTATAAAGTATATTCCAACAATTTGTTCGTTACTTAATAGATATACTCATTTTAAATCGTTATAGGTATATTTAAAATTATTCCTTTAATCGTTTTGTGCCAAAGGCGGACGCCTTCAAAAAATGGCGATCAATAAATTACTCAAGGACACACAGAAATCTGTTATAGGAATACACACAACAGTTATTTATAATCTATATATAATCTTAATAATTGTACTCACCGATTATTGCGTTTTAAGCACACTTATAACACAAAATACCGATAATTTTTTAACATCACAATAAATATTAAGGGAGCAATCCTACCTCGATGCTACATAAAATTAAAATGGCGCCCAATATGGCGCCACAATTATCACTTCCTTTTTATAACCACAAACATCAGCCGCTACACCGGTTCGGCGCTAGTAGTAATATGAAATTTGAAATCTTGGCGCGGACATAACAGAAATTTGGAAAACATTTTTTTTTGAGGAAATTTCTATTTTATCATAAAAAGGTAAAATTATATAGATGACTAATATCATTAACATCAATTAAACTTAAAAGTAAAGCATTGGGGGCAATACTATTATGTTTATTTTTATTTTATTTTAATATATTTGATGAATGATATTATTTGTTGAACGCATAATATGATATCGTAGTTGTATTCTTGTTGTAATGAATATGTATGATGATGAATATGATATAAAATTTTTACTCCTATACAGGATGTTCAAAGGTGCCCGGTGGCGTAGAGGTAAAGGCTCTCGTCTACCAATATCAAGGAAGAGGTTCGAATCCTACACCAGGCATTTGATCAGCCGACTATTTTTATTAAAATAAAAATAGTTTGGGTACCTAGGTCGACTCAGCCTTAAATGAGTACTTGGGATTCACAATCCTGAGGTAATAATAATATAGATAACAGGCGGTTGAAGCGCAGTGCTAGTCACATTTGTGGTCACATTATACCTTCCTTAAGGAGGATTCACATTTAGTAACATGTTATACAGGGTGTCCCAGAAATAAGTGCAAATATTTTAAGGGGTGGTAGATCTCGATAAAAGAAACATATTTTCTATTTATCGTTTTTCAAATAAGTCCAAAATAACGGAGTTATTTTACTTTGAAAATTCCAAAAAAAAAAAAATTGTTAAAATTTTGAGAACCTCTGGATCTTTTCTTCTGGATTTTCCTTCTTGCAAATTTAATGTAATACCTATGTTGCCATATTATCAAGAAATTATGTTTTTTAACTAAAAACTAAAAAAATTTCCAAAAAAATTTTCAAAAAATTTCGAATTTTCAAAATTTAGTACGACGGTAAAGGTGTGGATCCGGTGGCTGACCTTGAAGCCCATATTTGCTGCATTTGATCATCGATACTACGCAAGCGCACATGGTCGATGTTGCCAAATTGCAGTTTATTTTCAAATTATTAACAGTTGAATTTTTTTTTTGAGTGTTTATCAATAATAATACAAATTCTATAATTAATTTTATAATTTCAGATTTATCTTGATATCCAAAATTAAGAAATGATATATAAAATTTTAATAATAATAACATTTATTTATATATTTACATTAGAATTAAAAATTATCTTTTACGGATATTTTCTTAATGGTTTTAAACTTATTAGAATTATTTTATTTCTTTCAAGTTATTTAATTTGTAGTTATTTACAGGCAACAATAGTTTTGATTATATGTATTGATGTATTAATTGAAGTACTACCATGACGAGTCTTATAGAACAATACACGTCAATGGGAGATAGAGGTAACATTTTACTGTGATTTTACCTATAATGTTTAATGACAATATGGTGAAGGTTGAGTTCTGATCTTATTAGCACAGTTATTAGTTTTATACCTGTGTTTATATAAGACCAAATTAGATTTAGTTAGTTTGTGATTTATATTAAGATCTTTCTTATAATATTTGTTATGTCTTAATCTTAATACTATATTATGCTTTGTCTGGAAAATAAATGTTAAAATATCTTAATTTTGCATATCCTATTATATTAATTAGGTGTAAGAATAGAGAAATCTTAAGGTAGCAGAAAAATGCAATATATGTATAAGCAGAATTAAACAAGGTAACTGTTAATGTTGCTGAAGCTGATTCTACAATTTTAATTACGGTGGCTAAAAGGCCTTTTAAGGCCTCCGTAGTTTTGATGGAATGAAAAAAAACTATTATGAACATGACATGGAGCTACAGCTCTATAAAAAAAGAAAAAACTTGGACACATCCCTTTTAATTTCCCGAATTTTTAATAAAGCCCTTTTTAAACGTAGCATAATAATCTAGAGCAATTAGATTAATTATAGGAATTTAGACTTTTATTTCTATTTAATTTTATTGACTATGAAAATACATAATAAGCGTTCACGTGTTGTTTGTACGCAATATTAAAATAATGTTGCGAGCCGGTGTGGACTCGACCTAACCTCACAATATGGCCCGCCCTCGGATGACCTTAACATCGCATAGACACCGCAATGATTCATTCGTTCGAGAAGAATCGAGACCCACTAGAATGGACTAGTACATACGAGAACATTCGAAAACCTTCTCTATGCGCCTAACGATCTATGGACTATTCTAGAGTTCTTTACCTGTCGGTATAAAAGCCGGCGGCGGTGGCCTACAGGGGGCAGTTATAAATATACAGTTGACGCGCTAAAATTCAAAATAACTTCTTAGTTATAAATCGTTTGTAAATAGTTCTATAAGTCTTTTATCGTTATTATTTTTGTTAATTAGTGTTAAATAAATAGTGTTTAAATAAATTGTGACTTTCTATCCACACGGACCGACGAAAAACGTAACAATAATGGTATCAAGTGTATAATAGTGTGTGACAGACTAGAAAATAAAAAGACTAACGGATGGCTCCAAAAAAATTGAAAAAAATAGCGTCAGCGCCGATGACTATGAAATGAAGATCGCTGGCATTTTAAATGGGAAATGTCCTCAATCATCATTTCCCAGCCAACTGGACGCCGTTTTTTCGATCATACGGTATATATTGACAAAAAAAAACACTGAAAAGCACATATTTGTTTTCTACTGAAAATATTTCCATATTAACTTGCTATCTGGCAACATCGAAGATGTACGCATGCGTAGTATCTGTGACTATATGCAGCAAAAACTCTTTTCAAGGTCAGCCACCGGATCCACACCATTACCACGACTACCCAAAATTTTTTTTCGCAAAAAAACCTCATAGGCGTGTTTCTGGGGTTGAACTATATTACCAGTTAAAATATTTGCACTTATTTCTGGGACATCCTGTATAACATTGCTATTTAACAAGCTACATGCACAGATTAGGTATCCTATAAGTATACAGATAAAAATCTTGTCCCTAATTCGTGGTACGAAAATTGTTTTTATGACGACATTGCAAACGGAGTCAAAGGCAATAAGAGCAACAAGCAACAACTCCTCTTAGAAGGGCTAAGGGCGGATTTACCCAATTTCTTAATTGCTATTCCTTAATTCTTATTTCTTAGTCTCTAATTTGTAATTCTTAATACACAATTCTTTATCCCTTATTTTTTAGAGACAGTTATCCAATGTCTTAATCCTTATTTCTTAGTTCTAAATCGTTTGACACTAGTAGATCAAATCAAATCGTTTTTATTTCGCTGTGTTATTGTGTGCAATGAGGTCCATACAAAAAATTGCAGCACTTTCGGGTTTGTTTATAACCATGGCTTGTTGAGTCGCTACTCTCGTGAATCGCCACCGAGGTTGTAGGCGATTTGGGGTTCGCCCCATAAATAGAAGAAAGGACATGGAAGACAATTTTGGAACTCTAATACAAGACATGCTTTCCTTGGAATGGGACGAACAACAGTTCACAAAATACACAAAAAATTAACATTTCAAAATTTCACGCATGCGCATCTACTAACCTAACTTTCAAAATAAAAATTACGAACCGTGGTTAGAATTAAGGATTAAGACATTGTATAACTAAACTAACTGCATAACACGTATTTTATCTTTTTATAATTTAGCGAATAAGAAATAAGAATTAAGGAATAGCAATTAAGGAATTGGGTAAATCCGCCCTAAGTCGTCATCTGCTGTAAACCTAAGACTCTTTATAGGTTCTTTAGTAATGGAAGAGGTGGAATCCATATTTTGGGCCATATTTATTTAATTAAAACTAATCCCAGCTACTTAAATATCAAATTACCTAATAAAACTAAAACAATAATTCAAAACAATTCAAACATAACCTAAAATAAAAGATCTCGCCGGCCGGCTCCGGTTGTCAAATACCCGCACATGCCCATTTAAGCAATTTTTAAACGTTATCAGAGGTTATTTAGAAAGAGCGCTTGGTGCAGCTTGCCAAGCTGAGCTTGGTGTAATTGGATCCGCCCGCGGTAATGTTATTAGCGGGTGTTGCGTTGACTCGTGCATATCGTAACCATGATAAGGTACGCGTAAATACTGGATGACGCTATTCGGTTGTCGGATATCTCTCTAATAACTGTGCCGGTCAGGCGCTGTGCACAATTTTAGAGGCCATAAGTGGGCGTGCTATGTGCGCAAACTAGTCACCTAACTAGTGCCCGATTCCGAAAATTGGAACCACGAAAAACAATAAAGAAAAAACAAAGATTAGGTATAATCTGTATAACCTGTGCTACATGTAACATGTTAAAAAACCGGGAGCCGTCCACATTATAGTTTTCGTAGTCATGAATCGTTTTGGCGAGAAAGAGGTTCAGCTCGCAGCAGCGGCGTGCGTAATTATTTTTGAACAAAGAGAAAGAAAGTCGAGAAAAAAAAGCGGTTTTGAGTCCGCCATAGCCTACCAGCAAGATCTAGATACAGTTGAACTCAATTAGCTTATCTTTTCAATACTTGCCTCGGCTGTTTCTCGTAGTGTGTTTCTGTATTTTAAAAACATTAATAACTTAAAAGCAAAAGCAAACCATTTTGAATTATCCACTTCATCTAAACCATGCAGTACCTGATTTGCATTTCTTTTGTTCCCTCTGGAACTGGCCTATTCGATAACGCATTTTATTCTCAACTTTTTCTCTTTCCAAATACTTACTATGAAATGAAAATCGCTGTCATTTTATATGAAAAATTATATGGGGAATGTCATCGACGTCCAAGCCAACTGGACGGGAGGCCGACAGGAAGCAGTTTTTTTTCGATTATACGATATTATTGACCAGTAAATAAACAAACGAGAAAATATGAGCGGCTAAACTAGAAATTTAGCAAGTGTGGACGCGTTGTTTCATGTTACAATAGCAATGTTGCACAACATCTTTTGATCTTTACCGACTACAAATGGATAACATCTAGCAAGTTATATAGCATCGAAATTTG